CTTAAAATTATTTTTCTATTTAAATTAAGTGTAATGTTTTCTCAGTGTTCGTTCGAAATTCGTACTGATTATTTTTACCTGGGAAAAAAAAATATTTTATAATTGAATGATACGTAATTTTTATTGAATCAAACTTATTATGTGTTGATTCAAAATTATTGTTTAATTCAAAAATAATTTTTGGTTGACTGTATAACAAAACGATAATAAATTAGTTATTTAAAACTATTAGTTTATTTATTTGATAAAAATACAAATTATTTGGCTCAATTAATATTAGGTATTTTTATGTTAATAATATTCATTTATTCAATCAAGTAATTTTGCTAATTGATTAATACATTAAGAGCAATAATTTTACTTAGTTCAAAAATATTTAATGATTAAGCACAGTTTATGAGGCATACTAAAACTCTATAGGGAATTTGGTATAATTTTTCAGAACTTTTAAAATTTTAGACACAAATCTTCAGTTTTTACGAATATTTTTTCTGTTAACTGACAATGAATTAAATAATAACATTTAGTGTCCTCTATTGTGATATAATTGAACTTTTGTTTTAAAAAAATAGCAAATTAAAATACTTAAAAACCTCGCGTGCACAAAATAGCCTCAGTTGACGGTACCAGAGTTAACAGGAGTTGAGAGTTGATTTTTGATGAACTATTTTTTGTTGCAGAATTCAAATTGCACAAATAGCTTATTGTTTGTAAGGAGGAAGTATCTATGTAGATGATAACTATGACGGAATATGTGGTTGTAATCTTAGATGTAACCCTGATGGGCTGACAAGGGCTCATCAAAGCTACAATATGCAACTGATAATGCCTGACAGACCACAATACACACATGCAAGCAAAGTGCGTGTGCCCTCTCTCGAGTTGCAAGCTCAAGTACGTGTGTACTCATATATATGTGTATATATATATATATCTACGTTATCTCTCTAACCAGTGGAAAGCATTGTATCCCCATGGGAGCATTTAACGTTACTCTCCTGGCATAAATGGGCTGTCAACGCTTGTTCACTTCCTTTTCAACCTATCAACCGCGAAAATTCAAGACTCGAGAATATTTTCCTCTCGTCATTTATCTCCTCGCCAACTTTTATAAATAGACACTAAATAAACTTCATAAGTCACATTTATTCTACTTTAATTTAAACATACCGGGTTATTATAAACTCAATTTATCTTAAATTTTCGTTTTTTCATATTTCATTGGGAAAAAAATTAGCATTTACTTCATTATATCTTACATTTTTTTATGCTAATTTTGAACGATCAAATGAATAATTTTCTTTCTGTTTTTAATATATTTTCGAAAATCACTATACTCATAAAAAATAAGGGATATTGAGCATTTACTTTAGTGAAAAAATATAATTTTAATACACAAAAGTTATTAGGGTAAATCCGAGGGAGATGATTCTAAGTTTTATCAAAAGATTGTCAAAATTATAAAAAGCGATTTTTGTTTAAATTTTTATTGATAATTGAACATTAAACACTTAACATTAAAATAACGAAATATTAGATAAAATTATGTTTAATTTAAATTTTAAAATAATTTTTGGTTGAGTGTATAACAAAGATAATAATAATTAGATTTTTAAAAAATTTTCTTTCACATTTTAAATATAATTATGTTTGATTCAAATATATTGTTTTCTCAGTGTACAATTAACATAAAAAAATTAAAATAAAAGTTATTAATTGCCATCTTACTCAATAATACACGATTAGAAGTAAACATCAAAATATTAAATAAATAAAATAATTTCTTCTTTAATTTTTTGGAAATGTTAAAGTAGTGTGGGTTGTGTAGTTCTTAATGAAACATGAAATTAAAAATTGAGTTAAAAATAACAATATTAAAAATTCTATAAAATATTTAAATTGATCATCTCCACCGGACTTACCCTACTTTTTTTAAAAAAATAGATATTGAGAATTTGCTTTAGTTAAAAATTAAAATAGACAAAAGTTATTATTATTATTATTATTATTATTATTATTATTATTATTATTATTATTATTATTATTATTATTATTATTATTATTATTATTATTATTGTTATTATTATTTAATATGATATAATATGATTAGCATAACAGTAAATAGAGAAAACAACAATAAATATGGAAAATAGAATATTTAATACACGAAACAGAACAATAAATGTAAATATCAAAGGAATAAATAAAAGCAAATAGTAAAAATATAATAGTCTTTAAAAAACATTCAAAATAATACACTTTTAATTTTTACTTAAATAAAATAATTGTAATAAAGAATTTTCGTTCATTTCAATTTTACAAACTTTACACCCACAAAAAATATTATTCAACTTTTTTTGTAAAAATTTCGAAGAAAATGTCGAGTCTTAAACGATCCTAAATTCCACGGAATATTCCATTTAAACATTGGAAATATTTCATCAACATTTTTTAAAAATTACTAACTTGTCCTACCTTTCGAATACTCTTTTAGAAAAATGAAGAAATACTGACTTGAAATATTGTAATAAAAATTCAGAAGGAATATTTCTTTGGCATATTATATAAATATTATATATAGGAATATTAGTGAAAATTTATATTATCAGATAATATCTACTAATAAAAAAAATGTTACAAAATCTCAACGAAATATTCCAGAGGAATATTCACAATGTTCCAATGGAATATTCGCGAAATGTGAATTGAATATTTCGTCCCAATGGAAGAATTATTTTATAATGTAAAATCATACTTTCTTATCATTCTCTGAATTGTTTATGATTTTTTAAAATTCTTTTCAAAATCTTTCATTTCAAATTGTCGATAAGATTTGATAAAATAAAATTTTACAACTCTAGATAGATATCGAGAGAGATAGAGAGAGAGAGAGAGAGAGAGAGAGAATGTATTTTTGAACAAAAAGTTTGAGAATATAATAACTATTTCATTAAAGAGACGCTATATGAAGCTATATAGAATTTTTGTTGTAACTATCTATATGCTTTTCTATACTATTGACAAACTACTTTAGTTTTTTAATAGTTACGGCTCTTTGTCCTTCAAGCTCGTTTCTCTACCGTTATCGAAAATTAACGACCGTTTTAAAAGGGTTGTAACTCTTCGACAGGTTTATAACGTGTACCTTTTGCTCTCCTGAACAATAAGGAAAGAGCTTTAAAAATGAATTACGATAGAAATCAAGATAATTTTTCCTCAAGAGAGTTAAAGAAAGTTTATTAAAAATCCGCTATTAATGACCTAATAGCGTTTTAATAATAATAACAATAATAACAATAACAATAACAATAATAATAATAATAATAATAATAATAATAATAATAATAATAAAAATGTGACTTTTTTTAAATTAGTAGTTCAACTGAATTTTAGTCAGACAAATTTCGTTCGAATATTCTAAATGGATTTTTAAAATTAATCAAAATATAATCCCAACAGCAGGGAATACTTTATTAAAATTCCTGGAATATTCTATTGGAATACTGGGAATATTTCATCCATATTACAAATGAATATTCCGTCCATATTCCCTTTGGATAGAATAGACTTTCCAGCGTTCCAATAGAATATTTCGTAAGAATATTTACAATGTTACAATGAATGAATTAAGTGGAATATTCCTTTTGTATATTCCTAATGTTCCAATTGAATATTCTTTGCGAATATTCCTAATGCTTCAATTGAATATTCCTTTGGAATATTAACAATGTTTCAATTGAATATCCCTTTGGAATATTCAGTGTTCCAATAGAATGTTTTAATGGAATATTCCTTTGGTATATTCCTAACATTCCAATTAAATATTTTTTGAGAATATTCCTAATGTGTGAATTTGGAATATTCCTTTTGTATATTCCCAATGATCCAATTGGATATTCTTTTGGAATATTCCCAACATTTTAATTGAATATTCCTTTAGAATATTCTTGGTGTTCCAATAGAATATTTCCTTATAGTATTCCGAATGTTTAAATGGAATGTTTCTTTTGGAATATTCCCAATGTTTCAATTGAACATTCTTTGAGAATATTTCTAATGTTTCAATAGAATATTCCTATGAAATCTTTAGTGTTCAAATGGAATATTTCTTTAAAATATTCCGAATGTTTAAATGGAATTTTTCCTTTGGAATATTCCCAATATTGTAATAGAATATTTTTGTGAAATCTTCATGTTTCAATGAAATATTCTTTTGAAATATTACTAATATTCTAATGAAACATTTGTTTTTTATGGAACGTAGTGAAGTTAATTACGATTAATTATTTTATTAATGGCATACCCTGTTAGAATATTCCAACAGTATGAAAAGAATATTCCATTCTATAGAGGAAGTTACAGAATTAAAGAATTTCATTAAATTCATAAAATAACGAAAACTAATGAAACGAATAAAAATAAATAACTAACTGAACAAATGAAATTGTGCCTAAAAATATAAAAAGAGCTGAAAATTTGCTTTTTTCTCATTATAGTAGTAATTATTTTTAATTTCCAATTAATATATAAAGTTTATTAAATGCTCCGCAGTTTGTAGGTGTGTACATTTCACTATTGTGAGAACAATTAGCAATTAAAATGAAAATCTTGGCCAACAGAATTGATCGACAGTTCTATCATGATATTTGCAATTTCAACCAATCGTCTCGTGGATTATAATTACTAACGCTAATTGCATAGACCACAATGGACCATTAATATATTTGTACACACAAAAGAAAATTCTATATTGACTCTTTTGTTTAATAATTTCTACACCAATTGTCTCCTATTATTATTAATTCCCGTACTGCAATATTTAAATGAAAAATATTAATTTCAAAATTATTATCTAAATGGGAAATTAAATTATGAATTAATTCTTGCTAATTATCCAAATAGAATATTATGCTGGATAAATTAAGTTCTTAATAAATAAATAGAAAAATTAATTATTTTGTTATTATTATTTTTACTTAGTGGAATTTAATAACACTCACGTCATTTTGAGCATAAGTCGGCGTAATTGGTCCATCACTTGCCTCCCACTTGTCAGCAATTCGAATCGTCTCGACAGTCTTCTGCTGCACTGATTTCGACTCATCCAGGAGTGTCAATTCGTAGAATTCTTGAATATCTGTAAACAGAAAAAATAGTTCAATTAAAAAAAATCCAAATTGTAAAATTTAAGTAAAGAACATGGTTGACACACAACCTGGAAAACCTGGAAAACCTGGAAATAGCATGGAAATTGAAAAAGGATATGGAAAACCTGGAATTAGCATGGAATTTGAACGAATTTCTGGAATTTTTTTGGGTTAATGAAAGATATTAAGAAAAATTCCATTCAACATGTTTTTTTTCTTTAAAAATGTTAACATGCAATTTCCCTTTTCCATGTTTTCTCTTTAAATTAATTTATTTTTTTTTTTAATTATTGACTGAAACTGTGAAAAATGTTGTTACGATTGTTCTAAAAAAAGGATTTTATATCTTTATTAGTATTACGATTGTCAAAATTTTTTGTTACTAGTTGCTTTCTGTTCAAGATTTTGAACAAAGTTTAAAGATAAAAATTATTTAATTTAGACATGACTTCAATGTTCTAATTATGGCTGATTCTTCTGAAAGTGACATTTTTGATATCTCGATTAATTTTATAGAATCTACTCTCTAATAATATTATTAACCATTTTTATAGTAAAGAATTTATAATTTATAAGAGAACTAAATTTTTATGGTTTTTTTCAAACTCTTAAAAATTTTTTAAAAATAGTGTTAAAAAATACAATGTTTTTCTATCATTATGTGCATTTTAAAAATTTTTGTACCTCCGTTTTATATGTGATAAAAATGTTTAAATTTTGTCTTCAGTTTAAGTTAAAATTACTTCACGATGATTAATGATGTTTTTATACATTAAAAATATTATAAAAAAATGTGAATGCACATTAAAATAAAGTTAATGGTCTGATGTTTAATTTTTCTATATAATATTTATAAAAAAATTCTTACTTTTGAGTATGAAATAAAGTAGTTTCAATAGAAAAAACCATATAATTTAAAAAAAAATAAATTGAAAAATCGAATATCAAAAGTATCACTTTCAGAAAAATAAACATAAACATGCCTGTGATTTTAACTGTTTAAGAGAACAATAATTTATAACTATATAATAATGAATATTGTTAACATTGTTTTGTAAAATACTTGTTTTTTCATCACAAATAATTCCTAAATTTTAACCTGGAATTTTTAATATTTTTAACCTGGAAAACCTGGAAAAGCCTGGAATTTTGAAATCTAGATTTTGTGGCAACCATGAAAGAAGCAAAGTTTTTTTTTATTTTTCACACACTTTGAACAATAAACATTTGCTAATGTTAATTTGCTATTAAAAGAGATTGGAAATTTTAGAATAAGTAACGATACTTATTTATAATCATTTGACTAAAATTAATTAAAAAATGATTTGTACTGAAATTTAGACTAAAATTTACATAAACTACTTATTTTTTATTAAAAAGTTCTTAGAAAATATTTGTCTGACTACAATTGGTTATTACTACTGATTTCGTAATTTGAAAGATTCAGAAATGTTTTGATCGTCTAAAAACGACTTTAATTACTTATTTATAAATGAAACGTACTTAGTGAATTCTTGCCTGACTAAAATTTACTTTTACTACTTATTTTCCGATCGAAAGAGATCCACGTCAGTTTCCATTCTTAAAGAGAATTTTGCTTAATGTTAACTTAACTTGAACGTAAATAATTTTTCCCTACAAAGAACTGTTTGTTATTTATAGGAATTACTTCTTTGTTATAATGTATTAATTAATTAGAAGAATATAAATGATTATGTCCAATTGTTTTAAATTTGTAGGACAATAGTTTACATCTAATTATGAGAGACGCTTAACAATTATATACGATGGTTGATTTTGAATTCAAAGTTTGAATAGATATTTGAATTATCTTTCCAGGCTTTAGAGTCAAGTTCAGTGAAGGGTCAGGGCCAGTATCCCGCGCAGTGCGGGTGGAGAGATAAGAGAGAGAGGACATAATTTTCAATAGTTTAGAGCGCAGTTTTGGTACGAGGGAAACGTTTCGCGTACCAAGACCTTGTGGACTGTTAGGGAATATATCATCCAGGACATGTCTCGAGCAGGTCCTTTAGGTCGTGGATGGCCGTAATTCCTTGCTTATAGAGAACCTATTTCCAGGATTACACGGCCGTTTCTGACAATACATCGCTCGATTGAACGAAACACTATAATTACAGTTTACTTCAACTACACACACACTCATACATAATTAATACACTGAAAAGAAAATTTATTTAATTCAAAGAACCGATTACTTGTCTCTATTTGATAAATATATGGAAAGTTACACTGAGAAAACAAATTAATTTGATCCAAACAAATTTTGATTAAATCAAACTTAAAATATCTTTGCTATACAGTCAAATATATTTAAGTTTAATGCAAACATATTTTTTTGTTCATTTAAAAAGGAATTATATATTTAATTCAAACATAAGTTCACAGTAAATTGTGAGGCATTAAAAAGCGTTGCAGATTAAATTAACACCAAAAAAGAAAAATAATGAATTTTGGTGTTATTTTTTGCTATGAATGAAATTTGACTTCGAATCAAAAACCAAGCCAACGATTTGTCAAAGAAAGTCAAAGCGAGTCTTAGTCTAAGCCTAAGTCTCGGACAAAGTCTAAGTTTTAGTCTAAGCCTAAGTCTCGGATAAAGTCTTAATTTAAGCCTTAGTCTCGGACAAATTCTAAGTCTTAGTCTTTAAAAATTATCGTTACCAACTTGTAGAGCATTTAAAAATGCTTCGATTGACCTATTTTTGAACCTAATTCGATAGTAAATTTCGAAATTATTGGTATTTTAAAAACCAAAAATTGTGGAAAATAACCTTTTCTCAACCTTTTTGTTTGAAAATTTGTATTTAACTATTAAACTATTATAACTATCTTGTAGGGTATTTAAAAATACATTGATTGACCCAAAATTCAATCACTTTTACCATATTTATAAAAAGTTATTTATATATTTCTATTATTTTTATCTCTATGAGGAAGCAAAGTGTTCATGAAATGAGCACCAAAATTATAAAAAAAATGTACAACTTGGCAGCGGTTTTTTTTATATGTTTTAATTAAATTGTGTCGTATGTGTTTTTAAAAGTAATTTATTTATGTTGACATAGTTGCACTATGATAAAGTTTTAGTACATTCAGGTATTATTAATTTATACATATATGTGTTTTCCCGAGTCGAAATTTAAGCCCTACTTTCACTTTTAAACCTCGTAGACCCTACTTTCATACTCCTAGACTCTACAATTAGAAGAAGAAAAATTTGAAGATTTGCTCAGATTTAATTGAAGCACTTGGGATGAGTAAAAGTGAAATTTTATGTGTTTTATCAATTTGGAGTACTTTTTGCATTTGCAGTGTTTCAAGTAATGCATTAAAAAATAATTCAAAATTTTCTTTTAGAATGTAGGGTCTAGGAGTATGAAAGTAGGGTCTACGAGGTTTAAAAGTACGGTATAGGTTTCTTAGAAGTAGACCCTCCTTTGCTTTTCCAAATGGAAGATTGGCAAATTTCCACCTGTTGTGGGAGTCAAAGTAGGGTCTAATTGTATTAGAATTAGACCCTAACTTTACTACTCCTAACACTCAGCAGACCCTGAAAATTCAGGGTGAAAGTAGGGCTTAAATTTCGACTCGGGTTATTATTGTGTTTCGTTGTAATATTATTAATTGGTTTTATTATTAAATAAATTTAGCTTGATGAAGACAGTGAACCAAACTGTCGAAACGTCGCAACTTTAAAAATGCTATAAATATTATTTATACTTTACCTTCCTATTGATCGAATTTACTACTTCATACTTATTATTTAATTTATTATTTTATTGTTTACTTATTACTTATTTCTACTTTATTTTTATACTAAATAAATAGTTATTTTTATTTTTTTATAATATATTAATCAACAAATTGTAACAAAAAAGAATTTTGTAAATTTTTAAAAATTCGAAATTAGTAGTAAAAGTCAATTTTAGTTTGACACAAAATTTTGATAAAGCTTTAATAAATATGTAGTAGTTAATGATAATTTAGTTAATTATAATAATTATAATATTATTTTAGTTAATTTAATCTTTATTATCCAAAGTCAATTTTAGTCAGGCACACAATTTTTAATCCCTTGTAATTTGAAAATAACTTTTTAATTTCAATTTCAGTTGTAAAAGGCATTTCGAAACAGTTGTTATTAAAAAATTAGTAGTTAAAATCAATTATAGTCGGACAAAGATATTACGAATCTGTATCGAGATTGAAAATCAGTGGTAAAAATAAATTTTAATTAGAAAGCATATTTCCATAAATTTATAATTTTAGAATCAGTGATTCAAAATTACTGTTCTCGGGATATTTAATATTAATACAAAGATATTTATTTCTATAACAATTATAAACAAACGCAATTTCATTTAATATTCATGAAATGGAAGATTTAAAAGATCATTAGAAAAAGTAAATTCACCATTATAATTGAAATATTATAATTCGTCGCTTCGAAACAATAATTGTAGAACCAGGACAAGATTAGTTGCCGCGACTGCTTTGCAGACTCTAAAAACCAGTTAACGGAGCGTAGCATTCTGCAATTCCATAATTATGAACTATACTCGGAAATTGCAAATTACTCGCACGAGACTTGGTAAATGTACGTTACTCTCGGGGACGTAACGGATGCAACTAGTTGAGAACAGTTTCGGATTCTCGATTTTATCGATTTCGTCTCCTCGTCCCATAAAATGCAAAATAATTTTTTGCTTTCAAATACAATCAATTTTTTTGCTTCAATTATTTTCTATTCAATTTAGCCAACAAAATTTTCAAAATAAATGCTCAGTGAGAAATGAAAAAGTTTATTTTAATAAAATTGTTATTCTCTCTGTGACTAAAATTCGCCTTAACTACTGATTCTGAAATTAAAAATTAAAAAATGCTATCTGACTTAAATCTGCTTTAACAAGCTTCTCTCATTTTATACTCGGATTAATTTTTTTACTATTAATTATTAATAAAGTTTACG